TTGGTTTGTGGGCCTGTTTTAAAGCAATGGGAAAAGAAAGGATGGATTGGCCATAGGATGGAATGTTAGGATCAAATTCCACAATGTTAGAAATTGAAGGACTTGAATTGGAATAAAGAAAGAATGTTGTTGCAATAAGAAATAGACCTGAGGACTAAAATGCACTTTCTGAATATTGGTGGTCATTGAAACAAATAACAATTTAGAGGGTGTTTGATACCCATTTTTATGTAAAAATACATTTTAGAATAGTAAATTGATGAGAAATGTGTGGTTGAAAAATAAGGATTTTTTTTTTACGTGTAATATTATTTTAATAAAAAATGTATGATTGAAAAGAAGGAAGAGAAAAATGCATTTTTAAAAAAATGGTACCAAACGGGTATTAATATGGCAGGGAAAAAAGGTACCAAACAGGGCATTAATATAGCAGGGAAATCAAGATTTTGCCGGGGAATATACCAATTCTTAAAGGAAATTAAATAAGTTTTGACTTCTTGTATGTGGAGGAATTGGAATTCTTTGGGAAGAAAGATAGTGGAAGGCAGAATTGGAATTGGAGACAAATTGGACTTTTTGACAATTGGAATTGTATGGAACAAAACAATTGGAATTGACCGTTATTTAAGGAGATACACATAGGCATAGAAAGTTTGAGGGCCAAAATTGGAAAAAAGCCAAGAGGAGGAAAGATTGAAGGAGCAATAGAGAAAATAATTTCAATTTTTTACGCAATAATTCATCAATAATTGTGCAAGGAATTTGAAAATTAATCACGTTTTATCAATTTTTCAGTGACGGTGCTTAAAATTTGTTTGTTTAATTTTGACGTTATGTCTAGGATGATGATGAATCTTATATCATGAACCTTTAATTTTTGAATCTTATTTTTGATATTAAAGCGCATTTTCAATTTTTAAATGATTGTCATGAATTTATTTTTTTCTACAACTATACGCACAATAGTTGAATAGGTTTTATGATTTATTTTATCTTTGAAAGATTGAAAATAAATTAGACATAGTGTCAATCGTCATAGGGTCCAATAAATGATAGAAATATTCAGTTATGCTTTATGTGATCCTTACGTATTTATAAATCATTAATGTATTCTTATATTTTCGCCTCTATCATAAAAATATAATCGAGTCACATGTGAAGATATGTTTAATTCTACTATAGAGAAATTGTAAAAAAAAATTAGAAATATTAATCTTCATAATGGAATCGTTTTGTCAAACGTTCAAAGTTAAAGTTGATATACAAGGATTTGAGATCCTAGTCGTCTTTCATCATTGTATTTTCATCAAACTTGCATTCATTATAACTTTGCATTGATTTTAATTAAGTTATTAGGTCTTACATTTATAAGTAGATAATTTGATTACAATTTAGTTATAGAAAAATCGGCAATTTTCATAGTTTCAGTTAAGGCCAAATTAATTCAAACTTGAACTAGTACAATTTCTATGAGTATGATACTTGGACTCAAAATCTATCTTATTACTTGTTAACGAACTGATTACTTGTGATATTTTAAATTGAAAAAATTATTTTCGTGACAAGTAGCTCTGTGTTATGGATTTTTTTTTACCACATTCTTCGTATGGCCTCTTATCTCTTCCATCTCCGACCTTAGTTATGGATGAAGGAATTGAGAAGATACCAGCCTTTATTTACAAACTGGTGTAATTTCGATATGATTATTAATAATATACTAGAAAACTCACGCTTTCTTTAAGAAAAAAATTCTAACAATTGATAAAATAAGATAAGTTGCCGGAATCCTCGATTCTCTAAATATGTTATATTGAAGTCTCCCATAGTATTTGGATATGAAAATGAATGTATAACAAGAATTCTTGGAATGCCGTGGAGCTTCTTGATTTGTCCTATGCTAACTGTAGTGCAAAGCCGTATATCTTTGGTCTATAAGATCCAATACATTTAAGTTTCAAACTCTTCAATGTTTCAGCAGCAATGTATAGTTCCATTGAGCTTAGGTTCAAAATATGGAAGAGAAAAGCTTTCTTTACGACTCACCACCCTTTTAGTCCGTTTTTGACAGAGAGGCGGTTTCATTGTTGTGTTTTTGAAATTAAAATAAAATTTTCTCCATTTAATAGATAATCATTTGCTACCAACAGAAAATTGCTTTTTATCTTAAATTCAGATAATTAGATTTACATTAATGGAAACCATGAATTTTATATTTGGATAAAGGAATATATTAATGTATTCTTTATCGCTTATGGTGTATGTCATAACTCAGACATCCATTTCAAGTGCATATCTCGTTTTGCACAGCAGGGTTATGAAAATCCATGAGAGCCGACTATGCGTATTGTATATACCGATTGCCATTTAGCTAATAAGCTTGTGGATAGTGAGGTTTACAAGCGGTAATTCTTATTCAAAACTCAATTACGAAAAACAATTCAAAATCCAAAATACTTATAAAATAGGGAAAAATAAAGACCTAATAAAAAGATTGCCCTTCTAACCTTCGGATAGATTTGAGTTCATTGAGTAATAGCGCTACTGACTCTGTTTCAAAAAAATAAATAGGCTTCTTTTTTTTCTTCGGAGCCCATGGTTGAATTATGGGAAGCGGTAGGTATTGTTGTAGGAGAACTGATATGAGAATTGGGTACTCAATTAACATTTACAATTTTTCATATTGAAGGAGTAATCGTGATCTAGTCATATGAAAGAAACACTCTTATCGCTTAATTAAATATGTCATTTATCACCCTAAATAGGTAGTATTTCTTTTTATCCATTTAAAAGGCGTCCTTTTTGAAGTTATAACTAATTTTCCTTGATAGTCCTTGGATTGTGAGTCCCAATCATTTGGACAGTTGAATGAGCTCATTGACTTCTGATTTTGAGATCTGAATATTATAAGGCACATTAGCATGAGTGGATTGCAAAATGGAAATACAGATTTCTATACATAAAGTTTTGAAATGATAGCGGGTTACTTGTGATTCAAACCATGTTGTATCAATGGAGAGTTATGAGTCTAATTCATTTTTATTGGATCAGTACAAAACCCTTGTACAAATTCTTGGAACGAAACGAAAAGAAAATTGGGTCAAACAAAAAAAAGGGATTCTGTTTAGAGCTTGAATTCGATTTACAAATTTGTTGTTTAATACTACTTGATTGTTTATTGGTGTATAAGACAAGATCAAGCTATCTACATAAGAAGTTTAATCTCTGGTCGACAGAGTCACTTGCAGCACAGAAAGGGACCATTTCCCAATAAAAGAAAAAGCGAATCAGGCATACGATGAAATCTAGAAATCAATCACTGATCCAATTTGAATACTTCCCTGGGGATAAACCTCAATAGAAAACTTTTTTTGTTAAAAAAAAAAAAAAAAATATCTCCGAAAGGTTTCAACCTTAGAGTATACACTAACTCATATTTCTTTTTCAATCATTTTAATTGTAATTTCAATTCATTTTTCAACCTTATTAGTTGATAAAATCATAAAACTATGTCACAACCTCTTATTTTTTTCCTCACATGAGAGCTACTACCTATTTTTTGGGAATACCAAGAAGGAGATGCGGTCTAATGAGACTACTATGAAATATTTACTAATGGGTGGGGCAAGCTTTCATATTTGGAGTCATGTTAGGTGTATCAATACAATTTGATCGAGTAATTTTAACCATATCTATGACATGTTAATTCCTTATTTTTTATTATAATGATATGGTTATTCTTTCTGATTTGACCTTATGTTCTTGTATATAAAAAAAGTTATTTTTCTATGAGATACAATATGATTAAAAAAATTCTTATCATTGATGTCATTTTTTAATTGGAGGACCACAAGAAGTTCGGACAACAAATGTCATTCAACAAGGCATTGGTTTTAGTGTGTACGCAACATTTTAATACTTCATATATTTCATCGTGTGAGGTCTACCTGACAATTTAATCCATATTTTAGATGAAAACCCTTGTTAAAGACTAGAAATACTTGAAGAAAATGGATATGTTAAGTAAATATGTTTTAAGGGTTAATCTTGGACTACGTACGGGGTACATAAGGGTGTCAATTTTTGGACATTCGGGTCCTATTGGAGGGGCGCCGAATGTCCATTTTGGATACCATTATATATTTGATGATGTACACTTCATGTTTTAGTTTGATTTTGTGTTGGAGTATATTGTATATACCACATGTCAAATTGCCAAACGCGAACATGCTTGTAATCTTTTGTCGATTCTTTATATTAGATATTGGGACTACAAACGAAACTTAAAGACATAGATTCATTTGTTTATTTTGTTTGGGTAACAGATTGCCAAACACCAACATGCTTGTAATCTTTTGTCGATTTTTTTCATTAGATATTGTGACTACAAACGAAAGTTAAAGACATAGATTCATTTGTTTATTTCGTTTGGGTAACAAAATAAATTATGACGACTTTTAGTGGGTACACGAGGTTAACCGGAGTAGTTTGATTTCCATTTTTTGGAAAAATTGATTTTGTAATAATAATAATATTATTACTTTTTATTTTGGGAGAATATGTTGTTCAAAAGTAGGAAAAAATTTTGAAATCACGTGTAAAATTAATTTATTGAGAGAATATGTAATGAGTTTAGAAAAAAATGAATTTTTTCAATAATGGGATCAAATAAAAGCTTAACATCCGACCCTTCTTTTTCCCAACTCTATTGTAAGAATACCACTCTTCACATATTTGTCAAAGGATATAAGGCAATATCTATAAGTACGGGTAAAAAATTATTTTGCCCTGTAATTAAATTTTGTAAAAAAGTGATTTTTCTGAGAATCATGTGATTAAAAACATAGAAAGTTATAAGCGTTGAACTAAGGACTTATATTTCATAATTAATTTATTAAATTTAAATTTTTATTAGGTTTCAAATCTATGATTAATATTGATGGTTTGAATTTATCTTAAATTAAAATTTAATTTAAATCAATACAAACCTTATTATTGTTTCCTAAAGTAAATAAACATCCGCGGTTTATCCCCTTTTCCCTTGCTTTCGTCTTTATCCAAATGAAAATTATAATCCAATCAAATCAAATTTGAAATTATAAGGGTTTCCTCGAGAGGAAAATCGACTAGAAAACCCAATTTTGTGGCGAGAGGCTGGGTGTATAGGGTTTTTGAGTTGACAGATCTGTGTGGTCGAGTTTCAAGAGAATCATCACTCCTCAGGATTCACCATGTTTTGGCGCATGGGCCTCTCCACTGCATCGCCAGTGAGTGATTTTTATTTTTCTTTAATACAATTTTTGTATTTTTTAGTGGTAATATGGATCCAAATATTTGGTATTCTGATTGGACATGGGGTATGGTTGAACCCTGTGATGTGAATTTCCTGGAGTATTGTGGAATTTGGAGAGGTGGTAGAAGAATGAGGTATTTATTAGGCTGGATTGTAATCCGGGAGAAGTTTAATTACATTTTTCGTTGACCCTTTTCCTTTGGTGGAACTGTTATATTGGTTTGTATGTTCTGCTATCAAACCACGATGATTGGAGGATATGTAATAGTATTTGACTGATTCGATTAATAGTCTGTAATTGATTGAATGGGGAAGCTATGTAACAGTACTTTGAAAGTAGACACATGACCAGGGTTCTGGGGAGGATGATTGGTATGGCAACTCCGCTGGTTGTATTATTGTAAGCCCTTCCATGTTATATATTTAAGGGATTTCACTATTTTGTAGAGTCAGAGACCAATCTGTGCAACCGGAAAAGTTGTGTTATTAAATTGAATCAGTACAATTATTATCTCATTTGAAATTTCATTGAAGAAGAATTAAAAATCATATGACTGGATGAAGTGCGCTACATAGTCCACTATAAAAGAAATTCTTCATTGAGGGAGATTTGGAGGCTCCATATGCTCATCCTTTTTTCCCTTATAGTGGGAATTAACCCTACTAAGTGTATTCTGTGGCAAGGTTGAGTAGTACTGCTGTATGGATTGTCATAATGTACATTGTTTTCTATTCTTTTTTACCCCTTTCTGCTGCAAAGAATCCCATACATCTTCTCTTGATAGTTTATTAAGGGGAATATGAATCCTGCCCGCTTCTTTGAACCCCAAGCCATAATGTTTGTGATTGTTCAATTTGTGTTGTCAATCCCATTATGCCCTGTTGTTGGTTTCCAAATCAATTTTACAGCTTATATTCGCCACTGTTTTCGTGGGAAGTGCTTGTAGATTGCTTGAAGGCAAAATGTATCTTTTGTGTATGTATTTTGCGATAAATGTGCCAGGCTTGAAGAAAAACTTTTATTATGTTCGCAACTACCTAAAAATGTTCCAGTCCGTTGTGTTTAACAATTGGTCGAGCTTTTTACAAAAAATCATATGTTTTATAATAAATATAACAATAGATTTATTCTTTTTCATGAAACAACATTGAGCATTTTCAAACTTTTTATTCATCAGTATTTTATCAACGTATCCCTGTTTCGAAAGAGTTTATACTGTCTTAATCATATTTACCTCTTGCCTGCTGCAACCTGTGTGTCAAATGGTAAATCTCGTGCACATGTGTGCTCATTCTTGTTGCTATTTTCTGGCGTTTTATTCTGAGACTGTGTATTATCTTCACCAACTGCCTTGTTTGTTTTTGTGAGGTCCTGTCTTTACGTGCTTGAAATGTTCCGATAATATTATGTAGGAGATTTCCTGAGTGACTTATTATTATTATTATTTATTTATTTATTTATTTTTCAGGTGGAGACCATTTTAGACAAAGAAAATTTTACACTGGAGGAACTTCTGGACGAGGATGAAATAATTCAAGAATGCAGATCTCTTAATGGACGGCTTATTAATTTGTAAGCCCTTGACTCTCTCATCATGCTAAAATTTTATAATAATTGCTTTTGATTCTTGTGTGTATTCCACTTTTTGCGTAGTCTAGACTTTTAGCATGTCTTCGCTTTTAATAAGTTTCCCTAGCAGAACATTTTTGAGCTAACGGCTGAACTAATTATTTTTCATACTTTCAACCATGGGCAAGTCTCATGCAAAAAAATATGATCTTCTTTTCATTTTCTTTTGACGGAATATTCATTAGCTATTTGCTGTGATTATTTAATTTTATGCTTAACCATCTTGCAGTTTGCGGGAAAGAGTTCAAGTTGAAAAACTAATTAGATACATAGTGGAAGAAGCTCCAGAGGAAGCTGAGAGACTACAGTCGTTGAAGTAAGTGATGTATAGAATCAAGTGTCTACATACTCACCACTGGGCACTAAATCTACTTTGAGGATCTGTGACCTATGATGCATCGACACGGACACGTGTATCCGACACGATATGTGTTGAATACGTCGACTCGTAATTTTTCAAAAAAGTACCGACACAACACGTTGTCGACACGTTCATTAAAGTCTTTAAAAATTCTTCATTTATATAGTTTAAATTAAGTTTTATACACATTATTGATTCTTTTTTGTTGAAATCTTTTAAATATGAGTACTTATATGTTGTTTACTAATAACTTTGAGTTAAAAATATATAATGACTATAGTAAGAAAGGAAAATGATTATTGTATAGTGTCCGAAGAGTATCGGTATCGATACGTGTCAGACACGGACACTCTATCCTATTTAAGAGCGTCCGTGCTACATAGGTATACCGATACTCTTCGTTCAAAAGAGAAGCTTCTGATGCGTAACTTGTTTTTGTGTAGGTTCCCTTTCATTGCTTGTGAAATTTTCACTTGTGAGGTTGATATAATACTCAAAGCTTTGGTAGAGGACGAGGAGGTGAGTTGTGGTATTTTTCCTAAATTTACTCAATTTCTTTAGGCCTTGTTTGGCCTCATTTTTTGGAAATGAAAGTGGGTGGAATGGTATTTTATTTTATTTTTGAAAATGAGTGGTTGAAAAAGAAGGAAAAATTTTCGGGTGTAATATTATTTTATGGAAGATTGTGTGGTTGAAAATAGGAGAGAGAAAAATGGAATGTAATGGAATATAATTTAAGGAGATTTTAACATGGCTTAATATTGACTCTTACAACCTGTCCTTTTGCTTTTGATTGACAGTTGATGAACCTGCTTTTCTCTTTTTTGGATCCTGAACGCCCCCATAGTACTCAATTAGCTGGCTACTTCAGCAAGGTAAGATCATTGCTGCTCTGATGAGTTCAATATTTATGAATTTTGAATAGTTTCTTATCCCATTTTGACAAGTTGCAAAAGAACTTAAAGAATGGGGCTAAAAGGAAAGACCTTTATTCCTGGATCTGATTTACCTCAAATTAAGATTGAACTATCAGTTTTTTGCTAAAATAATGTGTCAGGTCTCAGAAGTTTACATTTTCCTTCAATTAAATGTCATAATGGGTACTTTGCAAATGGCTATCCATTTTTCATTTCTTGTCCTTGTTTGAAGGTCCTTTCAGCTAGGTTGTCGCGAGTAAAGCTTTTTCAAAAAGAGCTGTTACAAAGTTGTTTGATGCCGTTAATATTAAATCGACTATTTGGCGTGCATTTGATTCATTAATAGTACACACTACATAATTATTTGACTAAACGTTATTTATTACATGTTCTTTTGTAAATGATATTTAGCGCTTGTTTGAGCCCCATTTTTGGCAAAAATGCATTTTGGGATAGTAAATTGATGGAGAATGTGAGGTTAAAAAATGAGAAATTTTTTTGGATTTATATGTAATATTATTTTATTGAAGAATATGTAATTGAAAAGAAGAGAGAGAAAAATGTATTTTGGAGATAATGGGGATCAAACAAGGGCTTATTTCACAAATCTATAAAAGTAAAGATATTATTTAAATTATCATGGCATAATTATTATAGTATAAGCTGTATTTAAAGTTTATTTGTTTAGAACACATTATAATATTACGGATTAATAAATGAAATATCGTAAATACATATGAAAACCATAATTTCTTGTGTCATTTAAATGTTATTTCTATAATATATTATCGCACATTAATATATGAAAAGTAACAATGAATTAAAATTAAGATAAAAAACACGCAACCCTTCAAAAAGAATCTATGAAATATATAAATTAATGTATATATTGTTGTCTCGGTCAATTTAGATATATATGGTATTTTATTAAATTAATAAGCATAACGTTTTCAATTTAAAAACACCACATTCAGTTTCTGTGGCAGGAAAAAAAAAAGTCTTATCACAAACTTTTCAGTCGCTTAGCATTCTATCCTAGCACGTCCTGTTGTGCTTAAATCCTGTGTATGGAATTGCATACGGATAATGGTATTGCATTTGTTTGTTACTTTTTATTTTGTATGTTTGTACTTATATGTATATTGATTTGAGTTTCTGCATGTATGTTGGTTTTGGAGAGAAATAATAGTGGTAGTGTCGGAATAAGAGATTGGTCTTGTTAAACAAGAAAATCAGGGAGGAGCAGCATTGGGTTGAAGACGTGAAAAATATTTTATCATTCTTTGTGTTCATTTGCTTATTATGAAGGATGAACTTAAGACTTATACTTGCAATACATTGAATCTGTCGCAGAACAACAGTGTTTGTTCTAGAATCTGAAGTTTCAAATTCTTTTCTGCTGTGTAGTTAATCTTTAGTTCTCAGTTCATGTCTGATAATCATATTTCAATGTCTTAGGTTGTTGTCTGTCTCTTGTTGCGGAAGACGACAACTCTAATGAATTACATACAGGTACCTCTCAATATCTTTTAGTAGTTACTTTTTGTATTTATTTGTTACTGTAAGTTCAAGTATTATTTCTTATGGGCTGGTAGTTGCTGTAGACCCGTTACAAGTACTTGATGTATGGTTTTCCGTGATTTAACTTCTTGATGGTATTATTTCTTTTTGGACTTTGAATAATTCAACTGATCCAGGTATCTTAAAACATTTCATTTCCCTACTCGATGCCACTAGTTTTTTCTTACTATTGATGAAAGAACAGAGCTGTTTCTTTTTATGGGAAAAAATAAAATAAAGCTAAATGTTGGCATTAAGAGGAGAGGGTGATGGAGATCCTATTAGATTATTTTATGATTATTTTTCATGTTTAGATTTTTATTTTGGGAAAGGCTATTAGGTTTATTTATTAGATTCTCTAGGATTTGATTAGATATTTCCTATTTAGAATAGGTTTTTTAAACCCTATATAAAGGGGGCTTATGCATTGTAATAAATTCAACTTTGATATGAAATAAACTTGACATTCTCCTTGTAAATTCTCTCTCCTGTCTTCTTTTTTTCTGTCTTTCTCTCTCCTTGTCTTTGTCCTCTCTTTTCTCTTTCTTTTCTTAATCTCATTCTTGTTCTATTGCACCCTACGTCAGAGGGATGTAAAATTGGGTGCACAAAAAGAAACTCAGAATGCTGTGTGCCTTTTTTTTTTTTTTTTCCTCCTCCTTGTGGAGGGAGGGGATCGCTAGGACACAAATTTTACGTGTAGCTTGGGATTCCTTTTTACTTCATTTGCTATATGCAGAATTTTCTTTTTTCTTGGAATTCATACTAGGAATTGTTCATTATTCATCCTACCACCTACCCTCTGCTATTACATTTACACACTTAACTCTGGGAGCTGACATCTTCATTTAATGTTCATTCAGGCTCATCAAGATATTATCAAGAAGCTTGTTGACCTCATCAGAATCACATCTATTGTGGAGGTTTGCTATTCAGAGTTTTTATTTAAATATTCCTTTTACGTGGTATCATCCACCGAAAGTCCTAATTCGTTTCTTGTTGAACAGGTTTTAATTCGTTTGATTGGTGCTGATGAACATATATATGCGAACTCTGTGGACTCTATGCAGTGGTTGGAAGATACGAATGTGCTGGAAATGATTGTGGATAAGTTCAGTTCATCTGTACGTTGATAATCCTCCATAACAATAATATACTGTTTTCCTACTTCAGCCATTGGTATTTGGTTCTTACTTTGGCTTTTTTGAGTGGAAGGGATGGATCCTTCCTTTTTTATACAAACCGAAATTAAATTTACTCGCTTTTTATGCTCATAATTATCATCATGTCTAGGAAGAACGAGAGACATGTATCTGACTCTGCATGTCATACCTTATTGGTTATTGAAGTTGCATATTTCTTTATGGATGGACCTAAGTGTCATCCCTGAATAGTTTATTTTTTATTTTTTATTTTTGCTGTTGTTTTATCATGAGTAGTTGTGTCATACATTTGCAGGACTGCCCGGAAGTGCATGCTAATGCTGCAGAAACTCTTTGTGCAATAACTCGCTATGCTCCTCCTGGGCTAGCTTCAAAAATCTCCAGCCCAAGGTACCATTGATTATTTTCTTTAATTCCTTGTCATTTCCTAATTTGCCCGTTTTATTATTTTGATTGTAGTCTGACCTTTTTCACAGTTTTATAGGACGATTGTTTCGTCATGCTTTGGATGATTCTCGACCAAAATCTGTTCTGGTCAATTTGTTGTCCATTTGCATATCTTTGTTGGACCCCAAGAGGCTAACATCCGGGACTTGTTATATTTACAATCGCCAACTGGCTTATGGATCGGGAATCACTGCCAAACCCGAGATGGTTGAAGCCATGCTGGATAGCCTAGGTATGGTTGCTTGGGGTCAATATGATTCTGTGACAGACTGTTCCTGAAATATCCCATCAGCATAGATAATAAATCAACAAGTGCTCTCAGCCAAAATTTTGTAAAATATGTTCATTCATCCACTCAGCTTACACAATGGACTTGCTTATCTTGCTTATCTTGCTTGTATGTTCCCTATTAAATACTTGGGCAGTAAATCAATTGTAATCTGAAGTGAATTTTCATGCCATCATATGTGAGATATTGATGGGCAAAGGATGGCCTTTTAAGGGGATGTGTGGAAAATAGATTCAGGGAATGCACAACCGGAAAAGGAATATAGGCTTTGCTCTTTTTTGTTGAAATTATTTTTCTACTTGTGCTTGTTAATCTTTTTGGAATAGCTACCCTAATACTCTCAGTTTTTGGTAATGGTGCTATCTTCTTTCCCTCTTTTCTAAGTTTTGGTGTGTGTTTATGATTGAAGTGGTAACTGATTTTGTAATGCACTGTTACTTCATTTGAGTTTTCTTAATGTGTTTTTTTTGGAAATCAATGCGAGTTACGGCTCAAACATCTTGGAATAATGTTAGTAGAATTGTTGCTACCTTCTTTCACATACAAATTATATACTCAACGATATTCCTGCTGTTATTTAGTTAGAAAGGGGAAAAAAAAAAAGGGAAAAAAATGCAACAAATTAGTATATTTAAGGAGAAGTGCTTCAAGTTGCAAAGTATTTAAGTTTCAATCAGGCATCACCTTTCCTAGATGATTTTGTTATTACGATGCCATCGGTAATAGTCTTGTGGGATGTGCTAGTTGGCATGACGACATTAAGCTGGTTTTATTCCACAGGTGATCTTCTCAAGCTTTTGGATATTTCATCATCGGACAATGTCTTGCTAACTACCTATGGCAAGTTGCAGCCTCCTTTTGGAAAGCATCGCTTGAAGGTATCTTTTGTATATTTTTTGTGTAGCATTAATATTTCTTTGATTTCATATTGACTCTTGTTCTTCACCATATTTGGTTTCTATTAGAGCATTTTAAGTGTAAGAAATTCACTTGCATATGCGCTTACAACAGGAAAAAACCCATGCGTATGCTTTGTTAAAAGTGCTTTTTACACATTCATTCACCCTTTCATTCTCTCTCTCTCTCTCTCTCTCTCTCCATATTTGATATCTTCATTTGATCAATGGCATGGAATGCTCAAATCTGATTGTGACAATGGATATTTCAGATTATTGAGTTCATCTCAGTCTTGGTGACTGCTAGCAGTGAAGTTGCAGAAAAGAAAATAGTTCGTTTGGGTGCTGTACAACGTATCTTAGAATTGTTTTTTGAGTAAGTTTCTTGCCCCAGTTTCAGATTGTGTTTACTTCTTGTGGAAAACAAAATTTTGAGTACTCTAAATTGTATTTCTCCTTGTTACAGGTATCCATACAACAATTTCTTACATCATCATGTTGAAAAAATAGTAGTATCTTGCTTGGAGAGCAAGAATACCGAGTTTGTTAAACATCTACTTTATGACTGTAATCTTACTGGCAAGATTCTTGAAGCAGAAAAGAACTTCACATTGGCAGTTGATGTTAACAGGGTAATTATCTGTGTCTATTTTAGGTTGATCTCGATTTCTCCCATGCTTGCATATTTATTAACGTGTACATATACTCAATTCAATGAATGTTGTGGTAAACTACATTTCCCCATTGTGTTTGAATTATAATGTAATTAATTTTGGTGAATACTCTTGCAGCCCACTGTCCCCGCTGAGGGTAGATCGCCACCCAGGATAGGGTATATTGGCCATATAACTCGTATGGCTAACAAACTTATTCAATTGGGGAATGACAATAATGATATACAGACAATTTTGCAGGTTCTTTTCAATTTCGTGTTTTTCTTTGGTAAATACTATCATCTATTACACTGCGTGTCATCATAACTAATATGAAGCCGACACATCCAACCATCATCACAAAGAAGAAAGGTGTTTTATTAAACCACCTTAATGACGTTTATGACAGAGCCTCAGATTTATTGATTGTGTTTGGCTATTTTCTATTTTGGCATTACAGAATTCTAGTTCTAGCTTTATTTGATTTTTGATTTTCATCAGAATTCTATGGATTAGTGGTGTTTTTATACTGATGTTTTGAGTGGATGGGTATGCAAGCTGATGTTAGTGGCAGTCTTGAGTTGCAGCGAGAACCATTTTATTTGAATCATCTGTGCTGTCATGGACTCTTATTATTTTTTTCTTGGCAGGAAAATGGTGAGTGGGTTGAATGGCAGACAAATATTCTGCTTAAGCGCAATATGGTGGAGAATGTCTTCCAATGGGCTTGTGGGTGAGTGTTATACTTGATGTCTGGACTTGTGGTAGTGTGTGCAGTGGTTTTCTCCTTTTGTCTAATCTGATTGATGTGGTACAATTGACTCTTCTGCATCTTTTACTTGCACATGATCGCGGATCAGTGTGTCAGTCTGTTTCTTGTTGTCCTGTTTACTTTAGTAGACTTCATTTTCTGGTTGATAACTGTGGGTTGGGGGGGGGGGGGCAGCTGCAACATGCACGAACTTTCAACCTTCTTTCTAGCTTGTAGATGGATGAGTTCTGTTTTTGTGGCTGTATTTTGCCATCTAATCTGGATAGACCAAGTTGAAGTCCTGGTTGGAGAAATAATTAAGCATAAGGAAAAAGAATACAAGTCGTATTTGGAATTGTTGTCATTCAGACATTTTACTATTCATGACTAACAGAATTTTTAGACTTCTCATCCTATCATGGAACCTCCTCTGACATTTAAATTCCTTTATTAAGATGAATGTCAATAAAAGTAGCTGGAATCAACTAAAAATTTGGTCAGCAAGATGGCAGAGTCTTTTATTTCATTCATGACGTATGGATCTAGACGGCTAATTTGTTAAGGGTGTTTCTTCACTGGTAGACAGGGGTAGAGAGTGATGACGATTGATAGCCATGAACTTTGAATTATGTCAGTGTGTTATAGGCCTTGCGCCTTACATTTGTCCCTGCTCCCTGTTACATGATTCTCTTGGTGAATTATTCGTCACGCCACATTTTGATAGAAGAATCTATTGCTAATAAGAAATGTATCATGGTTGAAGGTTGACGCAATTATTAGATTTTAATGGGTGAAATAATAGATGTGATGGTGCTATTTTTAAATTCGATTTGTACACTCTGTTCTTTTTGGACTGTACTGTAATTATTGTGATGCAATCGAACAAAAACTAGAATTGTAGGATAGAGACGAGAAAGAGGAGAGAGAATTAGAGAGAAAATTTTTCTTTATCTAATAATGAAAACGTGTCCTACAAAACCACTCATACTAAAAATCCCTAACAAAACACTCCCATACTAAAAATCCCTAACAAAACACTCCCATACTAAAAATCCCTAACAAAACACTCCCATACTAAAAATCCCTAACAAAACACTCCCATACTAAAAATCCCTAACAAAACACTCCCATACTAAAAATCCCTAACAAAACACTCCCATACTAAAAATCCCTAACAAAACACTCCCATACTAAAAATCCCTAACAAAACATTGCAGACTACCTAATAATACTCATGGAAAGGAAATATGGAAAATCAACTAAAAGATTGCAATATAACTCATAACCTATGACAAGTTTCCCATAAACAATCTTCTAATAATATCCAAAGGATCTCCATCAAGTTGTCAATGGTCTTATAGTCTGAATCCCTTGATGTGTCTATTTTAGTTTATTCATACTATCTAACTTAACCAAGCAATAACACACTTTCTACTTTATGTTATTGATTTATGTTTTATATAATCTGCTGCAGGAGGCCCACATCCCTACGGGATCGGACAAGGGATAGTGATGATGATGATTACCAAGATAGAGATTATGATATTGCAGCTTTGGCAAATAACTTGAGTCAGGCCTACCAATATGGAATCTATGGCAGTGATGATATTGAAGAGGTGCGTACTGTGCCTTCTTCATTATTTTCCATTTTATCCAAGCATCATATTATTTCACACTTAAAGAGAATAACGTTTGGAGAATTAGCCTATGTTCGGCTCCTGTTTACAAACTATTTATAAACATTCAAGCCACTTTTTATCCATACATTTTGAGGGGCTCACAAACATTTTCCACTTATCCACCACTCGTTTCTATTTATTTATAATTTAAACTGTTTACAAACACTTACGTAACATGCTATTAGTGTCTAGAAACTGGAATCTCTCTGTTTCAAAATTGGAAGTCACACTGCTACATTTAGTTAATGCTGAAAACATTAACTGTACAATAAATGGAAGCTTTCTTGACTATGGAGTGTCAATTGAATTCCAATTGCATTTTTGCTTGCAAATTTGGACATAGGAAAATTATAATGGATGGATATACTGTGTATTAATTTTTGAAGGTTTGAGATTTGGAAATAGGAATGTTTGGGAACAGATTTTGTGTAACTGAATGGTATGAATTTTTGGTGGATGATTTCCATAGGCTGCCTTGCTCTTTAACCATCCCAAAAACTTCAAGAGTGCTGTTCTGATTAACATACCCTATAAAGGTGAATGTTGCATGGGGCAAGAAAATGATAATTTTTGTTAAGGGTTTTATCAGTGAAGCCTCTTCTTTGGAACACAGAAGTTAAGTGCTTATCACGTCTGTTCCATGAGATTAACCGAGTATTGTCATCATGTTGAGTCGTAGACCAATATATGATACTGTGGGGAAAGTTATATAGTTTTAAGTTTAATAGGAAAAAGGCTAAAAAGAAAATTAGGATAAAGAAAGATGAAGAATGAAGGTTACGCTTCACTAATTTAGCACGTGACTGTAAGAAGCTTGTGAAAGCTTTTGTAAATTGTAAACCCCAATAAGGGTGTGTTTGAGCTTCATTTTTAGGGAAAAATAGGTTTTGTAATAGTATTTTCTAGAGAATGTGTGGTTAAAAACTAAAAAACAAGAAATTTTTTTGGGTTTATGCGTAAAGTATTTTGTTGGGAAAATGTGTGGTTGAAAATGAGTTTTGATAAAAAAATGGAGCTCGAATAGGGGCTAAATTTGAACTTGGCTTTGAATATTTACCATTGACATGATGGTGTTATACGTTGTAGAACAACCTATCCTTGACATTTAAGATATTTCATCTTTTATGCTATTTCCATTTCTCATATATTGGTCTTTACTTTTTATGCTCAAGTTAACTTTGTACATAAATAAAAACTTATATTAAATTCTATTCACAAAGTTTGTAGACGCGTCAAGTCACCATGAATTTTGAAATTGCCGTGATATAAGAAATTCCCATTTTAAGTGGACCACAATACAAAAACAATTGCTTTATATAACTAGTACGATTCCAAATACTGTGATTTTAAATACTTTTTTTCAATAAAAAGAGAACTTATGGGCAAGTTTTTTAAGCTAAGTCAAACATATGTAAGCTGCACTAGAAGTTGATTAGCATCTTATTCTTTTGCATTTGCTGGAGGTTTAAGAAGTAATTTGTCACATTAATCTCCCAAGTCTTATGCTAGAATTCATGGTATATCAACCCCTGTTTCCATAAGGTGCCGTTTTTCATTTGTAATATTTCAATTTTAGTCCTGGATGTGGCATTAGCTATTTGCGTGGCAATGCTCCAAGTGTGAAATTGTTTAAAATATTAAGTGGTATTATTTTATCGAGTGTAGTTTGGGAAACAATGATCAAAGGGGTAGGATATTAGGAAGGTGAACGTTAGTTTTTGAAGACCCTAGAAGAATGAAGACTTGCAACAGGGGTCAATGGTAGTGAAAAATGGAGTAAGTGGATTATATTAGTTATTTTATTATTCCATTGTGTACTAACTATTCTCTGTTTGCTTTGTGCAGGCTCATGGCTCACCTGAACGGGATGATGAGGTACTTGTCTTAGCTTTGGTCGTTAGTGACGACTTCATCATCCATTGTCTTTTCTAGTTTTAGGTTAAAAAATGATAGTGATCATAGTCTCTTTGAGTCATTTGAGGTGTAACCCTCGGAACCAACCAATAAAATTAATCAAAAGAAATAAACATAGCCCTTGTTTGAGCCTCATTATTTTCATCAAAATACATTTTTCAACAGTAATTTGACCTCATTTCAACCAAACATTTTTCATTAAAATAATATTACATGCAAATACAAAACATTTCTTTATTTTTTAACCACACATTTTCCTTCAATTTATTATAAAAAAATGCCTTTTTTGGCAAGAATGGGACTCAAACAAGGGCATATTAATATATGCTAATGATCAACCATTAGCCATTTAAAAAAACCATTATAAATCAAATTGTCAAATTAAGATGTCTTAAATTACATACTAACATTAGATAGATTGTTATTGTAAATACAAAGTTGTTGATTCAGTAATCGCTTAACGAAATTTTAATCTATTCCATGGTTTAAAGAAACCTTTTGAGGCTCATGCCTAGAGTTCCGCCTCATGTGAGGCTTTAACAAAATGCCTTAAAGCTTATACCTTATTGGAGGCTTACATCTCAATTTTGTGAGGCTCATGCCTTAGGCTAAGCCTCATGGAGACCAAAGTTTTCGCCTATTTGCGTTGCCTTTTCTGGTCATTCTATTATTTTCCTTAGCCTTCTGAGCTATTCTATTATAACATAAAATGTTGATGGTTTTTTTGCCTTTACACGGATGAAAAAGTAGGATACTAAACCTTTATTATTTACTTCAACTCTTTCCTTCTATCCTGTCTATTGTGCGTGCCTATCTGATAGTCTTACTCAGTACTTACCCCTTTCCTACTCCCCAGTGATGAATTTTATTTTTTCAGTTAGACTTTTAATTTTGTTAATTTCTTTTGATATCGCATTTTTAATAAAGGTTTATGGTTTATCATGATCATATTTTGTACCTTCCGTATTATTTTGTAAGTTTGTCTTGAGGATTACACCTTGTGAGGTTAGAGGTAAAATGTCTTGATACTTGCTTTAGCCTTTTTTAAACGTTATCTACTACAAGAAGTGGAATAGTTGTCTACTATTAGAAGTGGAAGCAACTAGTTCTCCTCATTAGAAAAATAAACCAAAAAGCTGTAACCAGTAATGGTCTAATCAGAAAAGGCAAGGGAAATGCGGAAACACCTTAGTAGCCTTGAGACATTATGCCTCAGCAAGTTAAGGACCAAACCTTACAATTGGCACCCTAGGAGTAAGCTTTGAGTTCTTAATGATAGCCTCTCGTGAGAGCTAACAAATATTGCTGGTAGGCCAATGCAGTGCGAATGAAGAGAGCCTTGTTTAAGAAGTCCTGTAAAGAAGTTAGCACTATCTCTGCTAGTTGGCTGAGTCAACAGCAATTTTTTCTATCCTACAATTATTCAACATGAAAGAGTCAACTTAAATCTGCTCTTTCCCCAAGTTTTAGCATCATGCTCATATGCATATCCCTATTCCGCTGAGTTTCAGCACCATATTCTTATCATATGTACATCCCGGTTCAGCCTCTACTCATTTATATTTATCGAGCCTTGTCTGTGTGAATTAGCTGTGTGTGTATAACTGAGAGTTCCTACTTTGCTTTTTTGCAGGATGCGTACTTTGATGATGAATCTGCAGAAGTTGTCATTTCTTCCCTTCGTTTAGGAGATGACCAGGAAAGGTAGGTGGACGGAGTTTGGTTTCATTTTCTTTGATATCTGTCTAAATGGAAATATCTCATCTGCTTGTAATGTTTTAGCAGAAGTTTTGTGAACTTTTGGTTATATTTATGTTGTTTCCCTTCTAGTGAAGCATTTTTTAAGTTGTCACAGGTGGATTTGTTTGAAATGTTTCTGTAACTTAACTCACCTTGGTTCGTTCTTGGACCAATCAGTCACCATGTTTTACATTCTTAAAAGCTTTGAAGCTGTTTTACAGCACAGGCTCGTAATCACTCGTAAATTAATAAAAAGCAAAATTGGTCTTTCTAATTGATGGTCAGTGTGATATTTTTTCCACGAGACCTGAACTTATACACATCTCAATTGATTGCATATCATGATGGCCTTTGCACTTGTTATATATTTTCACTGGTGAATGTGTTTATTCCTTTGTTTTTGCTCATGTCTACAGTGGTTCTCTTTTCTCAAACTCCAATTGGTTTGCATTTGAGGATGACAGAACAGCTAATGAACCGCCAACTGATTTAGTTGCTTCTGCATCCCCTACCATTGATTCCAGTGAAATTGTCAATGGAGGAGCTGCTGATGACACCAGCATCAATGAAGACAAGGATTTAGCATACATTGTATCATCTGAACCTCCTGAACCAAAACCGAGTTTAGATGATCCTGTGCCCGGCAGTTTTTCCAATTTAAAAGAAATTGGAAACGGTGGGCATGAGAAATCCCCAATATTGGATGAAGGAATGGAAATTTCTGAGTCGGTTGAGTTGTCTGCGACCTTGAACTCTGCTGAGACATCTGATGCAGCTCAGCCACCATCTCTATCAAATAGTGAGGTTCAAGTTGAATCGGAAGCTTGGCCAGATGACACTGGCCCAGATGCTGGAGACACTTCCTCGTCTTCTATCGATGTTCCTGCAGACAGTTTACAATCACCTGACTTGACAGAGAGAGAATCTGGTACCGATCCTTCACATGGAGAAGGTGAAGGGACCTCGAACATTGTGAAGACAGATCCTCCTGCTGGAACAGACAGTTCGTGTGGACCTGCAGAACACGAAGAGAAGAATTGATCTGGGGAGTATAATGTAAATTCGTGTCAAAATCGTGTCGAGATGAACCAAGATTTGTAGCCATGATAATGCCCAGAAACAAGAAATTCTGCTTCTTGCTGACTGGTATTATCAGCAGTTCCCTAGCCTTCTGTATGTTAATGGCACTTGCAATGAGCTAAGCTGATGATTCTCTCTCCGATTTTATTCGTCTCTTCAGGTAACCACGTTCTGTCGTCTAATTTGATGGCTAACAGATTCGTATTAGATGCTTGGCGCCAAGCTGACACAAGTTTAATATGTATTTTAGTTTTATTTTTCTTCAAACTCGTTACAGAACTGACGAACACATTGTTGCCCTCTTCTGTATAAAAGAGAGACGCACAAATCCTTATTACACCAACTGCTTAAGTTATAATTTAGCTAATGTAACTTCTATGCCCCGACAAAAATACGTTCGAATTTATTCATTATAAATTGAATGCAAGTCGTTTAGTTGCAATATTTTCGTCTTCATTATCCCCAAACAAGAACCTAGTCTTAAAAAAGTGTAAACTTTGCCACCCAAATTATCAATAAAGAGATTATGAACCGTTCTATGCAGCAGATATGGAACACCTTGTAGAAATTTAGCCTCAACGGTTTTCTGAATAGAAATTTGTTAAGTGTACACCTTTTGATAGTCCTCTAATGGGGGGGTGGGGCCCGTGATGTTTTGGCGTACACGAGAAGAATCGAAAAACCTTATTCAGCCCTAGTTTGGTTTTGATGAAATTTTTGGGGCGCTTGTTTCCTATTTTTGCAAAAATAAGTGAAAAATATAGTTATGGGCTTCAAATAAGAGATAAATTCAAATTTGGTGTTTTGATATGATGGATAACGATCATATTTTTTATTTTAATGGGAAAGAATGGAAAACAAACAGGGGCAAAAGTTGGTTGTGTCTGTTTGGTTTGGATAAAAATTAGATTTTTGGTAAATTTTAATGAAGGTTGATAGAATGTTTAATTAAAAAGTTATAAATCCTATGAAATATATGATTCAAAAGTGAATAAAAGTTGTGGGGTCAAACTGTGGCTTAATTTTAAGTAGGTTAGCATATGAAATATGTTTCCCTTCACCCCACACTGGGTACTATGTAATTTAATAATAATAAAAAAAAAGAAAAGAAAACCCTGTTAGTGGACTAATATTAATTATCTCGTCCTACAGAGAAAGGAAATAAGTTGACAAAGAAACTAATATATGCACGAATACAAATAACACTAATTCGAATCTGTTTCAGAGACTAGGTGCACTTCCACCATCTAAGCCAGGTCTGGTTGCTGGAACTTGTCCCTCTTCAACAATCCTCAATTTGCTCTTTCCTTCAAATTCCTTAGCAGTGTCATATGATGCATGCAGTCCAAAGAAGAAATAGTAAACCAGTAAGAAACCACTCCATATGGCGAACCTTATGAATGAATCCTTGTCAATGGACCCAAGAAGGAAGATGTTAATGGCAATTGATAATGATGGCAACCAAGGAACCAATGGAATGCCCCACAACTTCGGTTTACGAGCTTGTGGGACGAAAATCGAAAGTCCGAGTGTGGATAAAAACCAAATAGGGGCAATTATGCAATAGGCAATCCAACCACTTTCACTAATTCCCCAATAAGCAGCAATAGCAATTGATGATCCTATGATAAGAAGAAGGAACACAATTAGTTTGTTCCGGTTTTCGGTTGTTGTCTCACCACTGACATAGTACCGGCGAACGAGAAGAGCCACAGCCACTAGCATAAAAATGATGAGTGTTGAGATTGAGAGAAGGTTGGCTAAAATGCCAAGGTCTGTGAAGAGGGCAATGACTGCAGTAGCAGCTAGCATAACAATGGTGGCATTGATTGGTGTTCCTGTTTTCATATGTACTTTCGCGAACCATGGAGGCATCATATGAGTACGAGCAATGTGTGTCAAGTAACGTGCTTGGCCTACTGCGCTGACGAGCAAAACGGATGTCATTCCCTTCAATGCACCTGCAGCCACAATGTACTGAGCCCATCCCAAGCCTACAGATTCAAACGCCCTAGAAAATGGTGCATCAAGATCAATTGTTTGGTACGGTTGCATTAGGCATAGAGTTACAGCCATTAAGCAGTAGATAGCTGTGGTGATCACCATTGATCCCACGAGGCCAATGGGAATGTCTTTGGCCGGATTTTTGGTTTCCTCTGCCATAGTTGAAACAGCATCGAAACCTACATAAGAAAAGAACAAGACTGCAGAAGCTTTGAAGATACCACGAGGACCAAATGGAACGAATGGAGTGTAATTCTTAGTGTCTGCTTTGATGAGCCCACAAATGATGATGAAGAGAATGACAAGCATATGGACTACTGAGGCAATGTAGTTGAGACGAGAAGAGCCTTTGGTGCTTAGAACTGCAATTGCACAAATGATTGCTAATACACCAACAGCTATGGGGTCAAGTTGGTTATATCCTTTGGCTAGTTGATGAACCGTGATGCGAAATTCATCTGACGTATGGTTGCAAAGACTTGCAAAGTAGGATGTCCACGTACGAGCCACTGCTGCACCACTAATGACGTACTCAAGAAGGATGTTTCCGGCAGCTATAAAGGCCACGAAGTCGCCTAGCTCCACCCTCAAGTAGGCAAATGAACCTCCTACAATATTGAGATAAAGACAAATATTTCAGATACATTCTCTAACTGCATTGCACCGGAAACCCAATTATCTTGAACTCAAAGTCAAATGACGAAAGAGAGTCCTAAATGTACAAGAATAACGCTACTTGTACATAAACAGTTACATAACGGGTTTACATAAAGATGAAGTGTCAAAAGAAGAGGGTAATTATTATTATTATTATTATTTTTTTTTATAAAGAAATTCTAACTCAATTATATTTCACCACATGTATATGTAAACCATTATATAAACCTATTATATACATATAGCACCAAAAATGAATATCAACAACTTAATCATGTTTCTAATAAATTTGAAATCAGCTACAAGAATTAAGAAGGGTTTTTCATCTTACTTTTTCACTTTGCTTGTGACAATGAATGTGACCACAATGTACAATTTATAACATGATATTCTTGCTATGGGGTCGTTTTACATCTAACGAAGAAACACGAAAACTCTTTACTTACACTGTGCAACGAAATCATATTACATTGACGAAGTGAATCCTTGGGGAATTACTCTTTTAATTAGAGGCATCTCTTCAAAATTCAATATTTGTCTTTGGAATAAATATAATGGTCGCATAGGTGCATTAGAATTACAAATATTTACCTGCTACAGGGATCTCCACAGCAAACTCGGTGTAGCAGAAGACTGAGAGCAAGGCCGATAGCCCTGAGATTGCGTAAGAGATAACCACCGCAGGACCAGCGTCCACACGCGCCTCTTGGCCGGTAAGTACGAATATTCCTGCACCAATGACGGCACCCATACCAAACCAGATCAAGTCCCACCACGAAAGCGTCCTCTTCATCTCATTTTCACTCCGCGACTTAACTTCTAGCTCTGCCTCGACACTGGACCGCGTAAGAACCCGATCCACCAGTCTTGCAGGAGTCTCCTTCAACGCATTTACGTAATTTCCCCAGCTCTGGAACGACTCCTCTGGGAGAAAATCGCTATACCTCAAACCCATTTTGCCTATGTACGCACTTCTGCAAAAATTATAGAATTTGAACTGAATCAGAACTTGACACAAAAAGTTATCAAAATTCTGTAATTCTATCTGATCGACAGTGCATAAACCGGAACCGTCATGAACAGTAGGTACCTCAGATATATCTATACGTGTAAAGATTTGAATATGAGAAAATCATATTATATTATATTATATTATATTATATTATATTATATTATAAATACACACTGGACGAATCTCCAATCATGTCACACCCATATAAAAATCGTAAAACCAACCTATAACTGAAAAATCATCAAATGGAAACGCATATAATGTGAACACGTGCCGTTTTACAATAATATGGAATTAGTTATAAATCAGTAACAGAATTAAAAAAAATAAAAAATCAATCAATCAATCCGGGGGTAGGCTTATTATTGAAATCAAGAAGAGAAACATACATTTCTGAATATAGAAGATGCACAGAGATAGGATCAGAGGAAGCAGTTCGCCGGAGGGAGTAAATATCGGCGGTGAATCAGTGAGTTGAGAGGTTATAATTATAGAAATGTGAGGCGAGCTATTGTGTGTGAATTGGAGAATCAAGTTAACTACTTTGCTCCAGCTGGATCTTGTATTCTGCATTCTCATTTGCCGCCGAATCTAATCAATAAGTATTTATTAATCTTATATCTTTCAATTCCAAATGATTTAGGGTCCGACTTTTGAAAAGTCAATAATAAAAAAAATGGCTTTTGAGATAAATAAAAAGTACTTCTTTTAGTAAAAAGCATTTTAACTTTTTTTTTTAATTAGAAGAATTTTAAGAGAAAGTTGATCTGATGCGACGTTCTCTAAAAGTATTTTCTTAGCCATTGTTTGGTGCCAATTATTTCAAGAAAAATAGTTTTGAATAGCAATTTTAGGAGAACGTGTGGTTGAAAAGTAAGAATTTTTTTTGAATTTATTTGTAAAATATTTTAATGTGCGAATGTGTTGTTGAAAATGATCTGTAACAATACCAAATATGGGCTGAATAGAATGTTCTTTTAAAAATTAGTTTCTGAACAAAAAATAAAGTAACTTTCTCCAAAAACTTTTCTACAAATAGAAGCAAAATTCATATCAAACAGTTAAGTAAAGAAAAGTGGGAGAATTGGGGGATTGAGTTGGAGTCCCTATTTTTGCTCAAAATCATGTGATTGGTCAATATTGACTTTTCCATTACTGTTAGGAGTTAACGGCTGAGATTCGATCCGAACTTATTAGAGCCTGATCTACTGGACCGTGGGGGCCACTTGAGCTATTATAAGTGGAAGAATTTGTTAATAATTGGTAAATCATGTATTAATTACTAATTATTTTGTAAATACATTTCTTTGTAAACGTTATAAAATTCATGGTATTTTTTCAAGGATAAAGGAAAATGTTTAAGTTTTCTACCCAGTATGATGTGCATATCATTATCATTAAGGTAAATATATATTAAACAATCTTTGATGGCTCTATGATCCTTGTTCGGGGAATTTGATGGTATTGACTTGCTTACTTTGCTACTATTTGAAGAACCATCACATACTTTCTAGAGTTTCCATAGCTAATGACATTAACACCAAAGAAGATTCTGGAATGGTTGCTAAATAATTTGCCCCTATCGTCGTTGATAGATTCATCTAGAATTTTTCATCGGCTTTGCTTGTGTATGTATATGTGTAATGGCTGTATGAGTCTGTGAACGTGAATGAGTGATGAGTAAAAGTGTGCAGAGAAGAGAGAGAGAGAAATTAAATAGCGAGGTGCTTGTTCGAGTGAAATTTAGTGTGGTG